AAAAAAAAAAGAAAGAAAAGCTCTTAAAGAACCCCCTGTAGCATAATGAGTAAGAACATAGGTTCTGGAGCCCAGCCACCAGGGTTCAAATCCTGGCTCTGCCACCAGGCTGGCCAGCTGAGCATAGCCGTCTCAATTTCCTCCACTGTTAAATGGGCTTAGTCTCAGTCCCACTTCCTCAGCTATAATGAGGATCAAATAAAAAAGAATGTTTGTGAAGTTCTCAGCATGCTGCCTGACACTTAAAAGCCCGTGCCGAATATACATCACTTTTATAAACTTAGACTGTGAAACTACATTAACTCAGACGGCAGATTTCTGGCTTCAGGCAATTTAACCAAAGGTACCAAAGTAAATTTATTCTATGGAACTGGATGGTACAATATGAACGAGAAGTATAAAACTGGAGAAAAAACTGAAGACAAGGTGGCACCTATGGCTCCGTTGGTAGGGCACCGGCCCCATACACCAAGGCTGACGGGTTCAAACCTGGCCCTGGCCAAACTGCAACAAAAAAACAGCCAGGTGTTGTGGTGGGCGCCTGTAGTCCCAGCTACTCAGGAGGCTGAGGCAAGAGAATCACCTAAGCCCAGGAGTTGGCGGTTGCTGTGAACTGTGTGATGCCACAGCACTCTACAGAAAGTGACAAAGTGAGACTCTGTCTCAACAACAACAAAAAAAAATTTGAAGACAACATTTCAAAACAAACTACAAAACCAGAGACTGAGTTTAAGAAGCACTTAATCCTCTGTCATAACTTCTGGGCACTAGAGGAGGCCATTACGTTATACCAGCCTCTGCTTGTTCTGAAGGAGAAAGAATCTTACCAATTTATGCAACATGAACAAAGACAAATCCAAATCTGTACAAGATCTTAAGACTTCCTATTTTGATCTGCCAGTATAGAAATAATTTTTACAAAATAATAAAGAGATTGCAAACTTGGCAAAGCAAATAAATAGCACATATGTTTCACCTCTCCACTGACACAGCAGGAAAAAGCAAATGTAAGAAGGCCCCTACTTCCCTCCCTGAGCTCTTACCCAAATTAAGTGGCAACCACAAAACAGAAAAAGAAAAGGGCTGGGCGGTGCCTGTGGCTCAGTGAGTAGGGTGCCGGCCCCATATACCAAGGGTGGCAGGTTCAAACCCAGCCCTGGCCAAACTGCAACAAAAAAATAGCCGAGCGTTGTGGCAGGCGCCTGTAGTCCCAGCTACTCAGGAGGCTGAGGCAGGAAAATCACCTAAGCCCAAGAGTTGGAGGTTGCTGTGAGCTGTGTGATGCCATAGCACTCTATAAGGACAATAAAGTAAGACTCTGTCTAAAAAAAATTTAAAAAAAAAGAAAAGAGCCAGACACCCCACCATGCCAGAAGGTCCACTGAAACCGAATAGTTGAATAGAATACCTGGCCCACAGTAGATGCTTTAAAAGTCTCTTATGAGGCTCGGCGCCTATAGCTCAACCGGCTAAGGCGCCAGCCACGTACACCTAAGGTGGCGGGTTCGAATCCCCAGCCCAGACCCGCCAAACAACAATGACGGCTGCAACCAAAAAATAGCCGGGCATTGTGGCGGGCGCCTGTGGTCCCAGCTACTTGGGAGGCAGAGGCAGGAGACTCGCTTGAGCCCAGGAGTTGGAGGTTCCTGTGAGCTGTAATGCCACGGCACTCTGCCCAGGGGGACAGCTTGAGGCTCTGTCTCAAAAAAAAAAAAAAAAAGTCTCTTATGAAGTAACAAGCAGAAGAGAATTCTCCACTCCCAACCTCCGAAGTACATTAGCCAGAGTTCCTAATCCATAAGTAAAGTCTCCTCTCCTAGCCAGAGTCATAGGGTGTGGGCCGCCTAGAGCACTGTTTCATCCACTTTCTCCACCCCTGGAGATTCTTCCACATCTTTAATTCCCTTCTTAGTCTGTAAAGCAGTGGTTCTCGACCTTCCTAATGCCGCAACCCTTTAATACAGTTCCTGTGGCTCATGACCCACAGGTTGAGAACCACTGCTGTAAAGTTTTCTAAGTCAGGAGCTGTGTCTGTGGCAGTTCCTTACATATAACCCGGGCTCAGGAGAGATCGCCCATGTTTTAGTTAGGGGTTGACATACTCAGAACAGTGCTTGCATGAGAAAATACATCTTAAGTCCCAAACAATTAATTCGCTGATGAACTTGAGAGAACAGCTTTTGAGGACCCTATGGTTCAACTGCTTCTCAGGTAATCAAGGCCCCCCAGAATGCTTTGAATGTGAACTATGCAGGAGTGGGAGGTAGGGGAGATAAACAGGATAGGAGCTTATTCTTGAGGATTCCTCACTAATCCCTAGCTCAGAAAGTGTCTTTTAGAGTCATTCCCAAACGTGAATATGCTTGCAACCCCCAGGAAAAGTAAGTGACCTACCTCCAGGGCACCTTTTAGGATGACAGCATGAGACTCTGAATAAAAATGAACTGTCCCAGAGGCAGAAGTCTCACTGCATGGCCAGTGTGACGTTTCAGAGTTTAACACAAATGTTTCAAGAACACTGAGGCAGTATTTTTTCCAAGCAGACTCTATTTGACCACGAGTTATTAAAGTCACTCCCTGAGGTGTTACAAGCCCCCCATCCCTGTAAGGCCCAAAGTAACAAAGATCATTGCCTCCAACGAGCCCCTCTTCCATTTTACAGATTCCCCAGGGAGGGAGCAAGGCTCAAGCCTACATATTTGGCCAGAGGACTGGATCTAGCCCCCAATTTATATCCTGGGTTAGAAATATTTTTGCCACCCATTTCCTCGTGACTAGTGGGAGGGCAGTGGGAAGGAACTGGCTTTGGAGAACAGCTAGAGCCTGGTTCGAATCTTCATGTGGGCACTTTCTAGCCAGGCAACTTTGAAACAGAAACCTAACCTCTCTGAATTTTATTTATTCATATACGTAAAACGTGTACAAATACGCCATGTATTTCATAGCTTAAAGGTTAACCAAGATGTTTGAAAGTGCTGGCACACTGCAGACACTTGATATGCATAAGTATTGTTGCTGTTTTGAGAGTTACCACCTATAAACCTCCAAGCTTTAAATGCCATACTACGTACGCTGAAGAAAAATGAGGTGCCCTCACTTAGGAATCTTCCCTTCATATCATAAGATCCTCTGCAACATTCTCATATTAGATAACTCATTATCTGAGTATAATTAAGATAAAATTTCACTTACAAACATGTGTACCTTGGGAATAATCTTTTGATTGTGGAAAGTGATGTAAGCTAGAGAGGAGACACCATGGCCCCTGCAGTCTGACACATTAGGGGTAGGGAGAGCCTCCCCTGCACACAAGAGATCTCTGGATTCCCCAGAAATCCAGGATAGAGTTCTGTGAGGTATCACTCACGTCGGCAGTGGGTTTGGGTTTTTTTTTTAAATTGAAATGTCTTAGAAGGGAGAGGTCAATGGACCCCCGCAACGCACACGTTCACCCATCCAGACCAAAGAAGAGGCAAGAAGAGGCTGGGCTCTCAGGCAAGTACCCGGTAGCTGACACCAAGCTTTGTGTACGGAATTTGTCTGCTGGGAGGAAAGTCTGATGTTGGTCACTTCCCTCCTAGAGAAAAATACAACAATATGAGGAAGCACCAAGCACTGTGGGAATGTTCCAAGTGGGAGTTCCAGTTCGGTCCAGAGCATAAACAAGGCAGATGACCAGCCTGGAGGTCAGGCAGCAGAGAACTGAGGCAGAAAGTCTAGGAGTCACTTTTCTGGGTCCTCTAGACTCTGCTTTGAAGTGACTTCCCTGCCCAGCCCTGGAAGAAACCATCAAAGGCAAAGACACATTGCATGTAGTGTCAGAGGAAACAAAAACTCAGGACTCTCTTACGACACGACACGCTGGCACCTACTCCCAGATCACTCCCAGAATGTTACTGCTGGTGGGGCCTCAGAGATTTATTCAACAAATACCAGCACAAAGCTTAGGCAGAGTCAGATAACATGCGCAAAAAATACTGAGTTACTGCTGTGATCAGAGCTGGGAAGTTCGGGGTCGGGAAGTGT